CTGATGAGAGTGACCTTGGGGGACCCTCCCTTCTTTGTCAGTGTAACTCTGCAGGTGGCCACACTGCTCGGGCAGCTTTGGCTTTTTGGAGCTGACTTCACCAAGAGAACTCCCAAGTGCCTGGGAACATTGAGGGGTAGTAGAAGTGGAGGCTTCCTGATCAAAGTTAGGGAGGGCTATGGTCAGGGTAAACCTCAGGGTCCAGAGGGGAAGGTAAAGGCCAGCTGTTCTCTTTTCTACACTATGCCAAGCTAGCCGACACCAAATTAATAGCATTCAAATGAGATGCAAAGCATTATGCAAATCTAGAGAAAAAGGCCATCTCGCCAAGCCTCTGGGCTTTTGGAAGGCCAGCACCCTAAGCCCTTTTCCGGAGGACCCCAAGAACTCCCTCCAACTTCAACCCTCACTCCTGCAGCACCAGCTGTGTGAAGAATCCAGTGAGACAGGTGTGTGACCCTCTCAAGGTTTTCATATCCAAGTGTCCACTCTGGCCTTACCTGCAGGCTCTCAAGGCCTCTTCCATTTTGCAGTGATGCAGAGGCAGCACAGAAGGTGGCATAACCTCCCGCTGGATGCTAGGATTCCAGGTCCCCACTCATTAGCAATATATGCAAAGTAGATGCAGGGATTTTTTACATCTATTTAACTGTCCATTAAAAGGGTCCCATTCCCATCACCTCTGCACAGACCCAGGCTTCCAAATTGCCAGCCCCCCCTGCCTGTAAGCACCATGTGGTTCCTGTGCTTGGTAATTGCTGTGGTGTTTGTTGAGCTGTATTTGCATTTGATTGTCATTTAACTTTCCATCTTTCTCCTTCAATCAAACCGGGAGATTGGGCTTTTGCAATTGATTATTCATTTTATTTTCAGCCCCTTGGTGGGTTTTCAAAGAGTTTCCTTCAGTAGTGCTACAAACTTCAAGCCTGGAAATACTTCCTCCCACCCATCCCTGGGCTCCTACGTGAAAATAATCTAGCCAACATCTTAACTCTTAAATCCTAGCCCCACTCTCTCTGTTCCAGCACCTGCGTCATTTCTGCCCAGCCGGTGGTATTAAAAATTTATGGAGCTGTGAAGGATCAAAGGCCTTATCTGGGGGTGGTGGCTGGCTGGAGGCCTTAGTTTGGAGATGGAAAGCAGCTCACACCAAACCACTTTCTGCTGCTGTTTCCACCCACCCTGGGTTTTTACTCCAAGTAGTCTGCCCTGCTCCTGGAGGGGGGGTTCAGTGCCCCCAGGGTCTTCATCCTGCCTTGTGTCCTCCAGGAAGCCTGGCTGGAGTTGTAATGTCCCAGACTCTTTCAGATGCTGCAAGTCTGGGAAACCCCTCGCAGGCATGGATTAAGGTGAATTGGCAGCTCTGTGCCCCTGAGAGTCTCTGGAGTAAGGTGGCAGCCCCTGCCCCTGCTTCTCTGAAACCTCCAAACCCCCTTTGTTTCACAGAAGATGTATCTCTGGTTTGAAAGCCATCTTGAAGGAAACTAATTTTCATCTCCTCTCGCTCAGAAAGCAAGTGTCATCCAGGCAGAGACTTCAGAATAAGTCACCAACGCCCCTGTAATCCAGCAAATTGATGGTTTGTTTGGAAGTGGAGAATTGAGGCTGGCTTCTCTGAGAATGTGGGCTAGATGTCTGGCACAGTCTGAGCAGAGGAGCCCCTTTTTCCCTCTCTCTAGCTCTCAGTCCTAGTGCAGTCTTTGTCACCCTGATACCCACCCCCCACCTACTGAGTCAGTAGTGAACCCTTCAGTTCCTATCACTTTGCGGCATGCTTAAAAACCCACCTTAATAATTCCAGAACCCCTTATTTTGATGCAAATATCAAATAACCCAGGATGGAATAAACCATCAGAGCAGCCACCAAGGACTTCCTACAGCTCTGATGACCACAATCTTGGTCCCAGGATACTCCAACCCTTCTCCTATATCCCCAGGGAAGCCCTGCCCTACCAGAACTGCTCCTCTCACTAGCTCCAGTCTGTTCTGCATTTTCCAACACTTTTGCCTTGCGCAAGCCACTCCCCCTACTTAGGGGGGGCCTTTCCTTTTCCTCTCCACTAACTAAAACCTAAAACATATTTACCACTTGGTTCAGCCCACCCATCTGCTGTGTAAATCTTTCAATGAGCCTCCTCACCTCCGAAAGAAGCAATTGCTGGCCTCCCTGGTGGCAGAAGGGGTTAAGCACATCACTGTGAAGCACCCCGGCCAGGGAGCTACCCACACGGTACAGTAGACCTCTCCTGTCTCGCCTGCTGCTCCCCTCAGCAGTATATTTCAGTCAATCCACCTGTTCTGTTCCCCACTCTGTCTTTGGTGAATTCTCTCACCACCTTGCACCTCTGACCTGTACCCCAGCTCTTGTATGCATAAATAAATCTTTTTTTTTTTTAAAGGCAGCAATTGCCCTCTTCTCCATTGTCTTAGAGTACTCATTTTGCATTAATGGCCTGCTTTGGACTTTAGACACTCCTATCCTCAAGTCCTGCCACATGCCATCATTTATTCACAAATATTTATTAAGCATCTACTATGTAGAGGCACTGGGCTAGGTTGGGAATAGAGGAGACAGATATGGCCTTTGGCTTCAGAGTTGACAACAAATAGAGAAGATAGACAGTTAAGCCAGCAATTACTAGAAAAGGAAGATTTGGGATCCTTTGGGGTCAAAAATTCAGGTGGGGGACACAGAGAGAATGGGAGAAATGAGACTGGTGACAGGAGCCTTACAAGTCTCCCTGGGCTGACACTTTCAAATGTGTATATGACCTGAGCATGCTATAAACCTGCAGCACAGAGCTGAATGTCCCCTAGGGCATTTTATTGTCCTCAACTTGTGGGTAATATTGAGGCCTAGGCAGAAAGAGTCCCTTGGTTGGCATGAGATGGGATACATGTCAGAACTCTACTGCCTCCCAGTTTGGCCCAGGCTCTGCCTTAACCTACTGGGAACTCATTGCTTAGAGGCCACCTTGACCATATTTAGGAAGGAAGAACATAGTTCTTCCCATCATGCAATACAACCCATCCTCTGAGCTCAGGGCAGAATGCTGCATTCTGGGACTTGTAGTCTCCATTGGACACCCCCCCCCAGACACACACCTGCACTTCTGAATGCCGAGGTTAGTTTGAGCAGTAGAGAGGGTGATATGGCAAATTCCTGGGTAGCTCCTTTTACCCTCCTTCTTGTGAGCTATTGCCCAGCCCATCAAGGAGCTTAGCTGCCAAGAGAGTCAGACAAGCCTGCCTCCAGCCTCCAAATCTCCATGAATCATTCTGGCATAGGAGGTTCATCTCTGGGTCATGACTCATTCTCTGCTCAAGCTGCTTCATCCAGAAGGGTCTAGAATCAAGGAGGAGCCCAGGAATACCTTCTAAAAGGAAAGGAAGAATTTCACTCATATGCCAGTATTTCCCCCAGACTTCCCTCAGCTATTGGCAACTCTCCCCCTCCCCCCCTTACAGTCTCTCCTGGCTTCCTCTCCTCACCACTGATCCTTTTTTCATCCCTCACCCCCTTCTGTCATCCTTCTGCTATGCCTTCTTTTTTACTCAGCTTCTGGAATACTGTCCAGAAATCCTCTCCCAGTGTCTCCCTCAGTTAATTCCGCATGCCACCTGCTTGCTGCCTAGGATTCTTTACAGCATTTGACGCTGCTCCCTAGAGCCTACGGGAAGGGATCTAGAAGGAATCTGATGAGCCGAGCTGGAAGACTGTGGAGGTAGTAAGGACCAAAAGATTCTCTGAGGGGTGAGACTTAGTTGCTGAATTCTTGCCACCTGCTTCCAGTGTGAGGTTAAGAAGCACATTGGACAATCACTGGGTCTGGAAGTTTTGGAGAGGAAGCAAGTTTATATGAATAGAACTAAACAGAAAGCTGTCCTTCCCCCTGGGGGCCACAGGGAAGTCAGAGCTCCTCTACAAGGAATAATAAAATCAGTCATTGTGCTCTCATTGTGTCCACTGAGGCTCTTCAAGTGAGTCCATGCATGGAGCCAAAACCCCCTGGGTCTAGACATCAGCTTCAGGGATGGCACAGCTGTAACTGCCCTCTTTGCTGGCCTGTGACTCGATGGGTTTCCTCAACCCAAGGAGAACCCTGGTAATTTATTTTTCCATGGCCTTGAATGTACAGCCTCCATAGCTGTTCCCCTGAGTACCTGCCAAGTCTCTATCTAATAGCCCCAGGAAAATATGCCTCCCTCCCATCATTCCCTGTGCCTGTCCCATTTTTTCGATGTGTTCCAGGAACATGGGCAGGCATAGGCATGAAGGGTCTGCTCTCACTGGTTGACACTGTGGTTTCTCTAGTCCTGAAGGCAACCAAGGTATGTATGCTCCTAGAGATCCAGGGCTACATGGAAATCCAGAATATTACCTTCCTAGGCCCAGGTTGGCCCAGGTTGCCTCCTGCCAAGTGAGGATGTCTTCCCAGGACGCAAGTACCACTGGCTTTTAACTATAATATCAGGATAATTAAGCTTTTCTGTGAGCACAGTTTGCTGCTGATGCAGCTGCCTGGAGCCCTGGCATTTATTGAGCACAAAGTAATAATTTATTGTCCTTTGTATGCTCAAAAGCCATCTTCATTATCTGCCCAGGACAGAACTGCCACAAGGGCACACAGGGCCTCACCAGCTGCCTCACTCACAGACGTCACCCTTGGAGCCCTGAGGGAAGAGAATGGGGTGGAGAGAGGTGGGGAAAGGGGTGCTCTCTCACGGAGACTCGGCTTAGAACCCCTCCTCCTTGGCAGGTTGCTAATGGGGGAGAAGGTGGCAGACTTAGCTGGGCGTAGGCGTTATAGAAGGGCGGGGGCCATGTGCCCACATTAGCAGGGCAATCCTTCCCCTTGAGCCGGCGGTGGCGCGGGAGCTCGTCCTCTTGCCGCTGGGTCTTCTGCGCCTTTGCTTGAGACTTTACGGTAAGCGCTCCTCCCGCGCCCCCGCCCCCAGCCCCGCGCGGCGATCCCCGGCGCCGACGCCAGGCGCTGGCCGTGGTGCTGATTCTGTCAGGCGCTGGCGGCGGCGGCGGCCGCGCTCCCGCTCCCTGGCCAGACCCAGCTCTGCTCCCCGCGTCCACGACCGGTCGAGCCCTCTGCCCTCCCGCCGCGGCCCCCGCCCGGGGCGCGGCCGCCACCAGCACCATGCGCCCGGCAGCCCTGCTGCTCCTTCCCTCGCTGTTGGCGCTCCTCGCTCACGGTAAGGACCCCGGCGTCCAGCGACAGGACGGGGGCGGGGGCAGGGTCCCCAGGGGCAGGAGGAAGAACAGTTCTGGCTCACAGTTCCGCTCCTCTGGCCGCCCAGCCCAGGCACCGCGCTCCGCCGACTGTGTTGCCCCCGCGCCGGCCAAGCCGGGCGGGGCGCGGGCTCCGCGGGCGGGAAGCTGCGCGGCTCCCGCCATTCGCGCCCGGCCGAGACCTCGCCTTTAATCATCTCCCCGGATCTAATGGGATTTCTCTGCTGCAATTCATCACGCCACCCCCTCCCCGCACACACTCACGCGCCGCCCGCGCGCTACCTCGCCACACTCCAGGCGTCCAGGAGCGCCCGGGTGCGCGCGGGTGGGGGGGAGGGCACAGGGCGGAGAGTCGGGACTGTCCTGTCGGAGCCCCGCGGTCCCGCCTACCGCTGCAGCCGCCAAACTTCCTCCGACTTTGCCGCCGTTTCCCGGGTCTCTCGCTTCCTCAGCGCGTAGGGACGGGGCCGACAGCGGCTGTAGCGGGATTGGAATGTTGCTCACCTCCCTCTGCTTTGGCGCTGGCACATCTGAACCACAACTTAGAATACAATTGCAGGGAGAAATTCGGGGGACCTGAGAAATTCGGGGGACCTTATCTGGTGCCTATCTCAGCCCTGGGCTGCAACTACTGAAGTCCTGGCAAAGATTCTGTCCTCCCGAAGTCCGTTCCTCGCGCTCCCCTGCACCTCCTCGCTAACGCCCAGGGCTACTCTTCCCTCTGGTCTGAGGTCCCGCTCAGCCGGGCCCACCGACAGGCCACACTCATAGCTGCAAGACCCTCACCTCACCCGTCGGCCCGGGTCCTCGCTCACATTCCCGTCTCCACTTCACCAGTATGCGACCGGAGGAAAGCTTGGTCAGGGATTGACCAGCAAGGAGGTATTGGGGAAATGATGGGGGTTTGTGCCTCCCGGAGGGAAGGTTTCCAGCTCCCCAAGGGAACGTTCCACTCCACCCGGTGCAAACAAGCTCTCATCAACGCTCCTGATGCCCGGGCTTCTTCACTGCAGCCAGTGGGGTGGTGCAGTCTCGGGGAACTTGCTTGGAGTTGGGACCTGCTCTCTGTCAGCGTGGCTCTTAGTGCCCGACATAGAGAGGGAGAAGGTGGGAGTTTCTAACCTCCTCCTTCCATCCCTCCAGGCCAGGTCCGAGGGTCAGGACAGAGGGTCCAGTGCCAAAATTAGCCCCTGGATGGCAGTTTTCTTCGCTCTGTGTCAGGAAGGTGGAAGCTCCTCTCTGAGCCTCTAGCTCCAGTGCGTTAGAGCCTGATATTCTTGTCTCTCCCAATCCCACCCCAGGGCTGCCCAGACCGGGTCCTTCCCGAGGCACCCAGAACTCACAGCCTGTGTTGATACTGGGGAGTCCATAACCCCATTTAGCCAGGGGCAGGAAGACAGAGAAGTCGGCATACTGAACCTGCTGTTCTAGGATGACCCAGGGAGCTCAGGAACTGCCTTGGAGTAGGGCCACGTCCTTCCGCTGGACAGCTCCCCCGGGGCCTGCCTGCCTGTGTGTGTGTTGCCCCTTGACCATGTAGTTTGAAACCTCGGGTGTGGGTATTTGAGTGTGAACATAATCAAGGCCCAGGGTGTCTGGAGTGATGGGACCAAGCATGTCTGGACTTCAGGAGGTCTGGATGTTAGGAGATGCCTCAACCGGGAGTGGGTGTGAGAAGTGTGTAAGGCCAGCAGTGTGTGGTGCAGCCTCTGCCGGAGAGCGCCCTGCAGGGCTGGAGTGAGACTGCGAGTCTCCAGAAGGATGGCTGTCTTGTCCAGGAGTCCGGAGAGCCCTGCTGGGTTGGGTGTGGGTATGAGCGTTGGGAGGAATCTGTCTATTCTGTGACCAAGAGTCTGTGTCTCTCCTAGCCCCACCCAGTCCTCTCCAATGCCGTGAGGACCACCTGCCCAAGGGGTATATGGGGTAGGTATCTGTGTGCTGGAGAAGACCTTTATTTTCACCCTCCAAAAGAAAAAGGGAGAAGCCCTGCAGTGCCAGGCCTGAGGAGAAAGGGCCTGGAACTGTGCCAGCCCAGGTGTGCCCCTCCGTCCCAGCTGGGTTTTGAGGTCCCAGTCATTGGGGTACTGAGTCGTCTCACTGGGAGGCATTGAATTCAGCTTTCCCTGGGCTGCTGGGGGCTTCAGCCTTGAGAAGTGAAGGCCTCTAGCTGTGAATTTTTGTGGGCTGGCAATACATCCGCTGCCTTGTGGCCTTGCCACGGGGCCCTCAGAGCTTTGTTCACACATAGACTGACAAAAGCAGGCTTTGGCAAGCCACAGAGAGCATCTCAGAACCGTAGGCAGAGAAGTGGAGGACTTGGGGCAGGGGGAGATCTTGCAGGGCCTGGTTCAATCCCTGTTCCCTGCCATGGGGGTGGGGGTGCAACTGGCCTCAAGCTGAGTGACCAGTGGTCCTCCCAACCCAAGGGCAGTGTCTGGGTGATCCTGCCTTGGGGGGAGGGAAGTAATATGGGAGGGGTTGTGCCTAGCTAGCCTGCTGTGTCAGTTTAATGATTTTTAATGAGCAATTACCTTTAGTCATTCTCCTAATTTCTGAATATCAATAAAGTTAATTAAACTCTGCATGTGTGAACACGGCCTGGGGAGATTGTGAAGGTGGTAGCTGCTGAGACTGAGGTGGGGTTGGGCCTGGGGTCAAAGGCTGCCTCCCTGGCCGTGTGACCTTGGACCTCATACTCCACCTCTCCAAACTCCCTTCAAGTATACGTAGCAAGAGGCAGGGAGGAGATAGCAAGTATGGGTTGCTCATTCTGCCAAGAACACAGAGATGATGTGTGAGAGGCAAGGCCCGGAGGAAGAAAAAGAGAAGCCAAAGGATTTGGCATCTAGAGCCCCAGCACTGCAAGGGTTAACAAATCAGGGCTGCTTTAACCTAAAATGGTAATTGTTGCTTCCTGCAGACTCTGCGCAGTAGGTGCAAGAATCTGACTATACATTCCTGAGTCTGGGGGCAGCAACTAAATCTGATACCAGGTCCTGCTCCCTGTCTCCCTCCCTGGCACTTTGGGGTCAGAAAACAGGTATTGGGGACAAGGCCCATGGGAGACAATCCAGAGTCCACTCAGAACCCGGAAAAGTTGACTTGGTGAGCGGGAGGCTGCTCTGGGTTTCTGAGGAAACTGGAGAACTCAGAGATTTCACGGACTGGAGGGGAAGTGTGGGCTGGCTTCTTTCTTGCCCCTCGAGCACCCAAGCTCAGAAGATTTGGCAGGCCCTGGCGGCAGTCCCAGCCTCCTCAGCAGGGTGGCAGCTTAAAAATGCCTTGGGGACACTGTGGGGTGCTAATGGGGAGTGAGGAGACACGGGGGCTGGGCTTAATTAGAAACTGGGCTTAATTAGAGCTTCCGTGCCCCTCCCGCCATGGCTGCCTGAATTGCAAGAGGCATGTATATACTGGAAAGCCGATTTCCTTAGCCCTTGCATCCACCCACCCCTTGGTACCCAAGCCCTCCTGTCTCCTCCCACCCTCCTAGTCTCCCCTCTCTAAGCCCTTTCAAGCCCCTTTTGCCAGGTGCTAGGCTCAGCTCAGGGATGTTGCGCCCCCACCTGGGCAGATCTGGCAGAGTTTATATCCCCCTAGAAAGAGAGTGTGGAAAAGGTCTATAGGTAGGGGTTACTTGAATGAAGGAAACACTCAGCTCAGATGGTTCAAGACCCAGGCTCCCTGTCTACCTCAGGCATGCCTCTGCCCTCTCTGTGTCTCTACTATCAGAAGTCTTCAAAGTAAGGCTGCACCAACTTGCCAAACTGGGAGTACACCAAGGCCTCCAAGGGCTTATCAAGCCGCGTAGATTTCTGGGTCCCAGGCTTACCCACCTGCTTTCAGGGAGGAAGAACCAAGGTCTGTATGTAAGAGGCTGAGAAGGGAATGAAAGATGATGCTGAAAGCTCTGGTAGCAGTTGGGAGGTGGGGAACAGCACTAGGAGATCTCCAAGGCCCCTTCCAGACTAATGCCAGCAGGAAACTTGACTCACCAGCCAGGCCAATCCACTCCCCAAACTAGCATTGTTTTCAAGGCTCTTGTTTCTTTGCCTAAAATTCGTTTTCATCTCTTGGGCCATCCTGGCTCACTCCTCTTCATGCTTCTCTGGCACTTCATGCAGTTCTTCAGCATGTATTTATGGGACATTTACTGTATAGTTACTCAGGGGGGCGCTTCCCCTCCACCCTGAGTCAGGGGCCTCTTTTGTGCTCCCACAATCACCAGAAGTTCCCCAATGAGACACCCATCTTGCTTGGTAGTGAGTGCCTGATTGCTGGCTGCTCCTCTCTGGAAGCAAGACGGAACTCAGAAAGCAGGCCACCCAGTCTTTTTCTCAGCCCTCTATTTTTGGGCAGTGCTAGAATTCCTATTTGGAGGAAGTTTAGGGTCAGCTGCCTGTTTAGAAAAGAGAGGTGGGTGCATGGCAGCTGGGACTGCATTTTGAAGCTGAGTTTGCGTAGCAAGCACACTATTTTTACATAGATTGTATGTTAGGATTTTTTTTTTCTTTTTCCTAACGGTTGGCCAATTATCCCAACTGTAAATTATAGCCTTTGCTTAGTTTTTTCCTTCCACAAATTAAGCTGTCATGCTGTCAGCCGGAGGTGGCTTGGGGGTGGGGTGACGGTGGCCATTCTGAGAAGGATAAAGCCTCTCCAGCGACCCCTTAATGCCACCACTGCTTGGGTCCCCAGTGGCACAGACTTTAGCACATGTTGAATAAGTAGAAGAGAGTTGTGCAGGTAGACAGTGGCAAAGTGAAGTCAGAGCCCAGGCTTCTTCCCTCCCTCCCAAAGCACTTACCCACTGCCTCTGCTGGTCTGAACTGCCCTGTATGAATTTAAGGACTAAGAAAAGGGAGGGCCAACCCCATGTCATCTGGTTTCATAGCCCCTTACCCATCTCAGCTTCAGACACCCTCACGGAACTTAGAAGGATCAATAGGAAACCCTAGGACCA